TATATTGAAGTCAATACCCTAGTTTCTTTCTGGAGGGAATTCTGAGCTCAATTATCACCATGTGGTGGAGCACATGTCCGTCTCATGTCTGTAACCTTCATTGCGTTCTAAATGAGACAAACACCACAAGAATTAGTTAAATCATTTTTTGCCATTCAGCATGCTAAAGAAAACAAAGAGGGGCATTAAAAAGAAATTCCGAAGCAAATTTGTTCAGGGGAAAAACAAATGAACTGCACTCTCCTGCGAGGTACTTATATCCAGGTCAGAGGTCTTTTTCTGCTGGGAGATCCTGTTTAATCAGCATTGCTGTTTGTTGAGTTCTCTCACTGAGATCAACTCAAGGCGTGATGCTGTGCTTGTTTCTCATCGCGTTAAAGAAGCGCGTCGGCGCTGTGCAGTCGATGTAAAGAAAATAAAACCACAGTGGTCTGGATGTACACCAGAACGGGACTCAGCTGTTCGACTGACACTGCTTTATCTGTAGACAGCGTATCATTCAAATCTGGTCCAGAATGGAGTGGGATAGAAATGAGAACTTCAGGCGACTTGTTATGAATGTAACACATGAATTTGATTATGACAGGAACTCTTCTATATGTGTTTAAATGACACTTAACAGAAAAACCCAGATTAGGCGCTATGTAGTAAAAGAAAATAAATGACATTCATAGCTCATGTCGCGAAGCGCACAGCAGGAGGGCCTTGTTTCCAAGCCAGAGGGCTGTTCGGAATTGTGCCTGCTGGCTGTGGGACAGGGGTCTTCACATTGCTCAAGGGTCTTTGTTTTTCAAGGGTCCTGAGCATGCCAGCAAGATTAAAATAAGGGTGGTGTTCACGAAGGGAACAGTTTGGAACGGGCCTGCGTTGTTGTACTCAAGAAGGCCGTGGAGAATCCAGAGGTGTGCGACCAGGTCAGATACCAGCTCCTGTTTTTGCTGCAGTTAGATCAGGTTTTCTTTTTTTCCCCAAAAAAAAACTGTTTATTACCTTTTCTTTTTTCATAAGAGATATACAAAATAAAAAGAAAAAAAAGGCAACAGAGAAAAAGAAAAGAGGGGGCTAAGCTCAAGTAGGTAAGGGTTTCTTTTACTGATACAGGATACATGACCTCAGGAGACAGACGCACATCATCAATACAGGAGAGCTTATTACATCATGTAACTTCTCTCATGAATATGGTCAAGAGGTCTGGACCAATGCAAGCCAAGAAAGATTCTTACGTGTTATAAAAGACGTTTTGAGTGTAATAGTCAAGTAATCTAAAGGGATATACTACACTCCTACACTCTGGTATAATCTTATGCTGTAGCAGACATTTTTTCCCAGATAAGCAAAAAAAAATCCTTTTCCATTCACAGAACGTGAACATATTATAGAGCCTTTTCTTTCTATTATTAGTTAAATGGCTACTTGAAAGGCCAAGCAAGAGAGAGACTGGGTCCATTCTAACCTCATTTTTCAATGTTTTCTGAAATTCCTGAGAGACACCCCTCCCATGGTTTTGCAGCCTGACACTGGTCCATAGGCAGTGAGGCTGTTGCCTATGTCCATTTCTGTTTCCCACTTTTTGTGTTTTGAGAAATCACTGTTTCTCAAACCAGCATCATTTTCTTTACATTCGCTGTTGCATTTCCTCTTCATTTTTCTGTGGCTTCTGAGTATTTTGTCCTTTTTTGTGCGGGGACTGGCTGAAAGCCAAGCCAGTGGGAGGCGTTGGATTTTGAGAGGGAAGGAGTCTGTTGCTTTTTGAGAGAAGAAAGTACTGTAGCTGAAGAGTCAGGGCTGTTTTCGCTGTGAGCCTCCGAACAGCCCACCTGTCTTTAGAGCAGCAAATGACTTGTTGTAAACGACAGGATATGTGCAGCACTGCTGTTGGATCATGTGGAGACGGTGCCGATCTAACACGGAGCCGTTTCCTTGGTAACAGGAGACCTCAAAGCACAGGAATCCTTGAGGTTCGAGGCCGGCCGTTTCTTCATTTGCCTGACCATTCACTACCTTCAATAGAGTGCAAGCAGCATAAAACCTTCAGATTCTTCTTGGCTAGCTGTTTTTATTCTTGTGCAAAACGGAATTAAAAAGCCAACAGAAAACGGAAAGCTCAAGACTGTACTACAAATTCTTGGTGCAGGTTATCTGCAGCTCAGTTAGATTCATAACAAGTATATGACGCATTTTCTAATGTAACTGAGGATTATTACATTATAAAATCCTGTTTGCGGTGATGCTCTGCCATACACTAGATTTAGCTGTCTATTATTTATTATTTTATTTATTTTACAGTGCACACAGCTTGGCTCAAATGTTACTCTAGTACCGTATTTACTGTAAGTTCCTTCCTTCTGTAGAGCATGTTACTACCTAATGCTGCTCACTTTTCTATAACAGGTATTTTGTTCCTTTAAAGATGTCCTTTGTTAAACCAGTCACACCCACAAGGATGTAGAAAACAATGCAATCAGGGATTCATTGTGGAGCAGTGTGAAAGCACGCTTGAACATGTAATTGTGGATACAGAGCAGCTCACTTCCAAGTTCTTTCAGTGAGTTGTTTGCTGTGGCAGCCTGTAGAGTGAAGGCTCTTGGAAGTTAATGAAAAAAGGCAATTAATCATGTCTTTCCAGTGATGACGTGATGGATGATTTGCAACTTTTCACCCCGTCTTCATTGAAATTAGGGGGTTCAGGGCAGGTCGTTGTTTATCTCGCCACAGACCAGTTTCTGTGAATTGCCTGCAAACCCAGCTGGTGTTTGTGTGGCCCTGGTCCGGCTCCTGCGTTCTTGAGCGAGCATCATCCTGCTGGGAAGCAGGGTGACTCAGCACCGTGAGGCAGCCAAGAATGTGACGGCATCTGTGGGGGAGACCCCCTCCCCGTCTTCAGAGGGGGGCAGCGGGGTCTGTGTGGACGTCCTCTGACCGCTCTGTGCCTTACCCGTTTCAAGGCTGTGCAGAAGCTTTGTTTGCACCGCTACTTAAAATGAAGATGTCTAGCCAAAAGCACTTGTAAACCAGTCATGAAAAAGGGCTCTTTATTGAATGAATCAATGCAGCAGATCGATGGTGCTTTTTTTCCCCACTATTCACATGAACTAAATCACAAACAGCAAGGTCTTCTCTTTGCCTCTTGCGGCAGTGGTTGACAGTGATTAGTAGGGCTTTACCAGTTTAATTACTTTAACTTCCAATTAGTGAATCCCCGGTGGCCGCCGTGATCTCGTAGAAGTGACAAATGCAGGCTCTCAGGGGGGTGTTGATCAATAAGGAGGGCAGCAAATGAAGGAGCAGCTCAAGGAGAAGGGTAAATAACCCTTTCTGTTCTCTCCTGCAGTCTGCATTGGTGGATGGAGCTGTATACAAAGACAGAGTTCTGGTTTCGCTTCATATTGTAGAAATCTTTCCTCTTGGATGTTTAATTCCTTAAATATGTGGTCGCTTGGTACCTGCGTGGTTTTCTCTCTCGTCCTTTGGTTGTGCTTTCACTGAAGTTGACTGAAGTGTTACTGAAGTTGGCTGAATGCATCACTCTATGAAGCTGCCTTCACTGGCCTTTTCTCTGTTAAAAATGTGGTACTTTAATCTCTAAAAATGATGGCAGAAATAGGGAAAGTATGGTAAAATCTTTAGAGAGCAGGTAAAATTCAGTGCAGGATCACCATGAGTGTGCAGCAGAGTGTTAGTCGTGTTCAACAAAGTCCAACTCTGGGAAGAGAAGGGAACCTTTAACTGATTGCTTGTGCGTGGTCACACTTGGTGCTATCAGATTTCGTCCTGGGGTTTCATGTTTTTGTGTGAGGCCTGTTTCTTGTCTGTTTGCCACAAATACTGTCCTGAGACAATTGCCTTTTCCCAGAAAAACTGCATTTTTGTCTTCTGAAGCGTAATTAAATTGAATTGAGTAGGAAGAGAAAAAAACTCCCAGATCTCATGTACAATAGATATCTGTGCTCGAATGAGGAAATGGAAGGGGATCAATTTGAGGAGCTTTAAATTAAAGCTTAAAAGAATTTCCACGTGGAAACAGTCGCAAAAGAATCTCTAGCTCTAAAAGCCATTGGAGATAGAAGTATGCTAAAAGCCTGAAAAATACATTAAAAAGTATAATTGTAAATTAGTTTGTGCAGGCCAAGTATAAAAAAATGTTTGCAGTGTCAGTTTGTTCTTCATGCTTTCTGAAAGACAAAATTGCTCAGTGCATTCAGGGTTTGGTGGTGAGAAGTCAGGATGTCACAAAGATGATTATAATGCAAATTGAAGGTCACGCCTGGCAAACACCCAGAGGTCTCAGTGCTCATCAAGCGCTGGATTTTCAAACCCAGTGACTTCATTTACACTTCTGCTCTTGTACCCTCAGGGTATTCCAAGACTG